TATTTCTGGCCACAACTACATTAGAAGGAATACACAGTCCTTGGGAATATTTTCATCCGGGTGTAGGTCTTTTCCTATAGAATATGATGTTATTTCTGCGGAGTAACTGTTTATTTCCCGTTGGTATGTGTCTGGGTCGCCACTCATGAGTTTGGCTCGACCTTGTAGGCTTCTTTTCTTGATATTGTACAGATGGTCGAAAATGAGGTTCAGTGAATATTTGCTTACGAATATCATAAAGATATATTGTGTTGACGTTATTCCTATATTCAGGAAGGCTAGTTGATCTGATTTCTTTGTGAAATCTATAGAAGATTTTATTGCGTTCACATGTAATATTAGCATATTTTCCTGGTGGAAGCCACAGCAAATTGGCATCATCTATGTACCAAAGACATATGGTTGCCTTACTTACAACCTTTCAAAGGTCATTTCCTCAAAAATAAATAAAATGACAAAACAAAAAATTGAGGAAATGGAAACTTCAAGAAATTGGTGAAATAATTCTCAAAAATATAATATATATAAGAACAACTTGAGGATGGGAGAGGAATAAAATTCAGTTTATAAAAATTTACTACAGAAAGTATATTACCGTTTCTCAAAAGTACTCCTGTGAAACCAAGTAAAAAATAGTTCCTAATATGTAGAATTTAGTCTGACAAGAAATGGTATAATAATTTTGTCTATTATGTCATCAAATAATTCTTTCCCCATGCTTATCATAAAAAACTATTAATCTCACGAGAATTTAATTATGCTTAATTGAGTACATTTATTTTCTTTATTTTAGGGATATAAAGTTATGCATTTTTTATAATGACTTGTATGCGATAGGAGGTGTGGGGCAAATTTGTATAATCGTCAGTGTGAAAATACGTAATTCATTCCCCATATTTACAGATATACAGAGAGAATGGACTAACACTCACTCTCTTTCTCAATCAGTCATTCTTTTTCTCTATCACTCTCTCTTTCTGTACATATACACACAAAAATATACAAATATTACATATATAATTACATATATATCGAATATATGCACATAGTGAGAGCCTGATACACACAGACACACACACACACATATATATATATATATATATATATATATATATATATATATATATATATTTATATATAGTTGCTCTATGTTTTAATATTTAATGTTGAACACTTTTTACAAAAATATACTCGTCAGTAATTTTTTTCACAGATGCTCTTATCTTTATGATCAACCAAAAAATCCTTTTTTCAATGTTTGTTTAAATTAATCAATTAAAAGCTTAATAAGTTCACTTATTTATTGACAAACTACATTTTCTAATTATATGTAAATATATTTTGATTAAAGTAACAGTATTTTATATTTTTTAACCCTTTTGTATCTGATCTTAAGGTTTTGACCAGGGGTGTATATAGGGTGATTGAAAATAAACTCCCACTTTTAAAATACTAATAATTTATTTATTAACTATAATTTTAACAAGAAATATATATGAGGAAAGCGTTTAGCTTGAGATTTTATTTAAAATTCAATATAGCCACCAGATGTCGCTACCAGCTTCTCGCGCCGCTTAGGAATCGCGTTAACTGATTTAACCAGGAACTCTAGTGGTATGGAAAAAATAATTTAGCCGTCAAGTTCTTTCAAAGTCTTAATTTGGTATAGTAGACTTGCTCCTTTAACCAACCCCAAAAGAAAAAAGTCACAGGGTGTTAAAGTCAGGACTCCTGGAATGACCACTCTTACATAAAATATGGAGTTACTTTTAAGTGACACTTTATATATATAATTACTCTATGTTTTAACATTGAGCACTTTTTTGCTCGCCATCTATTGAGTTAAACGCCTGTAATTTACGTAACCATGTGTTTTGTTAGGCGTTAACGATCTGAGTTATACTGTATATATATATATATATATATATATATATATATATATATATATATATATATATATAGTTTATATATGGAAATATTGAAAGAGTAATTAATGTTTGATTTCGCAAATAATATATATTTTTCTGAATATCAGTTTGCTTTCAGGGTAGATTTCGGGTGATTGCCGATTTTTTCTCTTTTACAGCTATTCGTTATTCGTAGATCACTGGCGTAATGATTGCTTTTTACGAGAATAATTGTAAATTAGTAGAACATCAAATGTTTGAGTGTGAACAAGAAATGGATTCACTTCTATTCCTGACTGTCTTCCTAACAGATATGCACGATTACGATTGAGCTGTTTTTTATTTCGCTTATTTTTTTTTATTCATTTGTAAATTTGCAATAAATGTTAACAAAACTTTCAGGAACCTTTCATTTTTCTAGCCAATATTGGTTCAAAGACACGCAAACAAATTTTAACAACTGGTGAAGTTTCTAGTGCCATGAGATATGAGACTATCACCATCATCAACTTTTTAGTAATTTATTTCTCTTTTGGCTTACATATGGTTTCAGTTTTTGTTTGTAATTTATATCTTATTTTTTACTTTACTTCTTGTACTATATTTTGTTTCATTTTTACGTTAAAATTCTTTATTCCAATTTGAATAAATATGTGAGTTCTTTTTCCATATTTGCTATAGCCTTCACATTCTATATTGGTTAGAATCTTCTCACTCTTCTTCATTTTTGTTCCTTACTGAAAGAGATTATCTAACTGCAGAATGGAAGATACAGAAATTCATGTATATCATATCATCCATTATTCTCCTTTTCATATGGTTTGTTATATTTGATTTCCTATTGAATTTATGCTTTTTGACTTGTGATTTCACCTATTTACTGTTTGCTCAGTTTTGCTCTCCTCGTGTTTTCTTTTTTGTTGCTTTTTTTTTCTATTTTCTTCACTGCACTGGGTTTTCCTTTTATCAGTCTCATTCCTATTTTTGCTTCTTTTCATTTTCCTTCTCGTGTTACGATTTCTTGTCACTTCTTGTAGGTCTTTTCTATTTCTATTTATATATTTTGATTTCACTATTCGGTTCATCTGTAGCAATAACGTCTTCTTTTTTTATCCACCCCACCCCCCGCTCACATAAACGACCTCAGTATCTAACCGCTTGTGTTCCAATGTGCTTTCTTATTTTATTGTATTTGTTGTCTGCCATTGTCAGCCATCGGTATCTGTCCCATGATTACTCCATCTGTCTCAAGCCTGGGGCCACACTGAAAAATGATTCTTTTCTCATATTTGTCAGCAAGTAATGGCTTTTAAAATGAGAATTTTTTAATCTTCAGCGTTTCCCAAAAATGGGGGAAAAAATTGCAGCCTTAGTTTACACAGTTCAAAATGTCCACCAGTGTGATAAAATATTTCAATTTGTCAAACATTATGAATCTTCTTTTCATAAAATCTAACGTTTCATCATAAACCGCTAATCCATAGTCAGTGTACAAATACATGCACAGATATGAATCCTATATATACGATTTTTATATAGTCTATTCTGCACATCATGTTCTTTCTATTTTTTAAAATTCTTTTATACTTATACAAAGGCGTGAAGTAGATTCCACAATGAAAGAAAAAAATTATAGAAAATTACTTTTTTTTTATTTTCTGGTATAATGATTCCGTAAGATGTGTGATATTTCTGGCAAGACACTGGAAACAGTAGGATATTTGATAAAATAAAATGATCAATCTGTTAAAGAGCTTTCAAATTTCCGGTCGATAGTATTGTAACTGATTAGGATCATAGGGGGAGCATATGTACTTCAGAATCAAGAGTGTTTTGAATTCATAGTTTTCCTTATTTTATATTGGTTGCTATCTAAGTTTAAGGAGCCCAATCCTTTCTGCTATTAATCTAGCTGGCTCTGAGAAGAGATGGATTCATGCCTTTCCAAGGATATTTGTGCAACAGTTGAAATTTCAATTTCTACATCTATAAACACTATGTCATGCGCAGATCGAAATTTCGGCTAGCTTTACGTATTATATTTTTCTACATTTTCAGAAATCCTACTCCTACATTTTTCATTAAAATTCAAATGCTATGCTCCATCATGTAAACTTTTTTATTCACTTTTTCTCTTCATTTTAATCATTGAAGTCACTATAACTTCGTTCCTAAATTTCTTTTTACGTTTCCTTTTCTTATATATTTCTGCATATTTCCTTTTCAATTTGATGTTTCTCGTTTATTTCTTCTTTTTTCCCCTTCTTTTAAATAAGTAATTAAACATGGCATCTTCACAAATTTATTGAACTTTTAATCTGTCCCCTATTGCTCTGGACTCTTTTCTCCCTAACACTTTTAATCAATCTTTACACGAAGGACCAACGAGTGCTCTTTCGGCTTGTAATGCGTTTGCACCCTCTTTTGCATTCGCGCGCAGGCAATAAAAAATTAAAGAGACCCAAGCAAAAATAGGGTCTCTCATTTTACAAGGTTAACCTTTCACCAGATACAAAAATCTGTTACAAGGGGATCTCCTCCCCACACACCCACAAGATAGAGAAATCAATAAAATCTCGCTTCAGATGTGTCAAAATATCTTAAGCTTCAACTACAGCGAAAAATAAAACACACATTCTATCATTTTTTGAGGGGAAAGAATTCCCCTGTGAGGATGGAGTCAGGAAACAGCAAATTGATCGATATAATAACATGCAAAGCCGATGAAATGAGTACAATAGCAGCCAGTAACAGTGAGCATGTCTTTTACAAAGAAACGTCTTTCTGAGACGATCACTAAGGTTCAGAACACAATGAGAATATTATTATGTATAAGATAGCATTGGAGATTGCATGACTTTTTTTATGACTCATCAACCATTTGCTGGTTATTTAATGCTAATGCCAGAAAATATTTTACGTTAATAATGATTGTTATTGATATAAGTTTTACTCTTCTCCCTCCAGCTATGGGTAATTAACGAGGCGGATTCAAGAGTATTTGGGCATAAGTGATCATAACAAACCTAACTGGAATAGGAACATGGCTCCCCCTTTTCAAATTCCGGTTTACATCAGGCCACACATGCAAAATTACAGCATTTGGTATTACCAAGCGGTTACCGACGTAGGTATTGACCAGGCTTGACGTTGCTTAACTTCGGTGATCGTACGAGAACAGGTGATTCCAAGTAATATGATCGTAAGCCGACAGCATTGAAGAGGGAAAACACTAATACAATGCAATGACATAAGCCGTGGTTAGTAATGATATAAGACTATACAGATGAATGTGTCCAGTATTTTTCGTTCAGACCGTTTGTCCACAATTTTGATTAGCAATTTTTGACAAATGAAAATATGATAACTTTATGATTTGTTTATTTAAAATAATGGATTTTTAAAATCTAGTTCTTTGTTATTAATCCTACCGAGTTCTATGCGTATATTTAGCAATTATAATAAAGAAATAAAGATATTATATTTTATATAGTTCAAGTTTCACACTATTAGCGTTTAGTTTTAGTAGATTTCATTGGAGATAAACTGACAGAAAGCACTTTTAATACTTCACTCTCCTCGATGTTCTAATTAACGCTATTTTCGCTTACGTTTGAGGAATTTCTTCTCCAGATTTCTAATTCTTTTTGTAAAGCAGTTCTCAACTATAGCAGCCGTGCCGATCATAAAGGCGATCATCTTTATCTTCGAGAACATTTATTCATTTTAATTTTATTTAGTTTCTGTACTTTTGAATGATTCGATCCTTTTTCTCCTCATAGCTAAATACGGTTCTTTATATTTCTGAGATGTGGTATTGTAACGATTTACACTGTTTACATTGTTCGGACTGTTGTCATCATCTTTACTATTATATTCACTATATATTCACTTTATAAAATTGCCAAGCGTGGACGTAATCCAGTGCTCGACCCAAAGAGTTGTGAGTTCAATACCTGGCCACAGCAGAGGTGAACAAAATCTTGTAGAGTTGAGTTATTAAAAGGGAAATATAGTGAAACTGAGATATCCAGAAAAGGAATGGAACTAGAATAACCTACCGAGTGAATTAAATAAAGTGTTCGTTTCGAAATTCCAATATATATCCTCTGAAGAAAGTCGGAATGCCGTGAATATAAAGACAATAAAGATAAGGACATTTCGAACGATGTAAATAGTTGGCTCTGGCTAAATATGGACCACAGGAAGAAAAAAAGGGTATCTTTAAGATTTATCTTATTTTTAATGCAAAAGCAACCGTAACGTTTCACCTTTTCGTTAGGAAAGCTAAGTGTGTAGCTCTTGGAATAAGATCAGTTATTAGCTGAAAAATGTAAACGAAAAGGGTTTGTTAAATATAGTGGTGAAGCAGTCAAGAAATTACAGTTCTTTAATGCCACGTTAAATATTCTGCAGTTAAATCATTCATTTGTGTAAAATGGTAATAAATTCTTTCAACAAATGCAATATCCCAATAATAATGAAATTAAATATTAGTTAAAAAAAGACTCATCGTTACGAGAGATCTGAAAGTTTAAACTGACAGCTATCCTGTTAAAATCTAATAAAATATTCGAAGGAAATGCTAAATTTGGTTTTCTTTGTTTTACATTAAATTAAAGAATCAGTATAATTTTGAAAAGAAGTTAATCCTACCTCCAATATGGAGAGAATCACGTGAAAGATATATCTGTTAGGTTGTTTGGGAAATAATGTCCGATTTTAGAATAAACATTTTGCGTTCTAATATATTATTATAACAGTTTTCATAAAAATATATTAGTCATTCCTAATGATTAAAGTGTCCTCTTTGTTAACTTTAGATGAATCAATTTCAGAATTTAACTGAAAACATTATGTAACTCCTCATATTGAATATGAAAAAAGAAGAGATGAGTTTATTTTTTCCATGAGTTCAAGATAGGTCATAATGCTTCCCAGACTGCTGCCAAAATTAACAGAACACGAGGTGAAGGATCCATTTGTAATCGGACAGTATGGCGCAGGTTTCTGAGATTCTAAAGTATTAGTATTAATTTTTTTAAGTGTGTAATCATTTGAATTAGGGATATTGTTTTTCCAAAGAATATCAATACATTAAACGTATTTAAAATAATGGAAACTAAATTCTTCTCGTTTTAATTCTTCTCAGTTTTCTTTCTTTCTTGTCCCTTGCTCAAGACCTCCTACTTTCTTGTCTCTCCAGTACAATTTGCCTTTCGTCGATTTTCCCTGACTTTCCCTAATGTCTTCCCCTATATTCTCATCTTTCTCTTTTTGCTTCAATTTCTACACACTTTTTCTTCCTCTTTATCTTTCAAATGACACATAGAGTAGCAGTTTTTCTTTTGTTTTATGTCTTCACCGGCCTCATCGATCCTCTGTACCCACTGTCCCACAATCCCATCTACACACAATAAGCTGACAGCTTCCATACATATGAAATTCATGTTAATTCCGTTGCTGTCCGTGTCTGACGGAGCTTCCAAGGCCGATAACCAGAACAACAAACAGCTTATGGCGTATCCGAGCGAAGTGGAATTGTCTGTAGGTTAAGTGAAGATAAAATGGCGTTCGAATAAAGACAAAAGTGAAAACACTTATCTTGCTGAATCCCTAGAATATAAAGACATAGCTGAGGCGAATAAAGAACACAGGGACAACCAATTTGAGAGCAGAAGAAGAAATGAAAGAAAAATATGACAAGGTATATATTAAAAGAAGAAAGCAAGAAATGTGTGACCTAGAAAGAAAGAAAGAAAGAAAGAAAGAAAGAAAGAAAGAAAGAAAGAAAGAAAGAAAGATTTCTGAATAAAGGAGTAGGATGAAAGCAAGAAAAGATGTTAAGAAAGAGAGAAATAAAGAAACAAGAGATTAAGAAAAAAGAAACGATGTTAAAACAGAAAGAAAGATGTTTGAGTAAAAGGGCAGAATAAAAGAAAGAATGTTTGGATAAAGAGAAAGAGACCAAAAACAAATAAAGAAACATCAAAATGTCGAAGGTAGTAAGGTGCATGAAATTAATGCTGCACAGTCTTCTGACAAGAGATAAACTCTTACCGCTTTCTGCCTAAAAAAAGTTCACCAAATGATTTCGAAAAGTGAAGAAAGTAAGGAAATACAGAATGAGGATTGACAGAAACAATGAAATAGACATAAAGATCAATTTTCTTTGCTGTCATTTACTTCATATCATGGCTCGTTGAAGTACTCTTGGATCCTATCTGGTTATAATGACAGCAAATTATTTCCTTACACCGGAAAAATACTCCCACATAACTAGCTATACCAAAGTGAAAGAAATCAAATGTCTAACAAAATGTCTATTTTACAACCTTTGTTGTCAATTGAACATTTTCTATTGTTGTTATTGATGTCCGTCAATCATACCAGCGACACCAGTCATGGGTATTCAAGATATTTTTGTTTACAGTAAAGGTGGAAAGAACACAGAGAAACCTTTAAAAAAAAAAACAAAGCAAAAAAGGAAATAGCTTAATTTTGTCCTGGTAATTTTAAATGAAAAATTGCTATGAAAAGAGTCAAATATATTTTGTTGGCGAATTGTTCTGCTAATTTGATTTCTGATTTTTAAAGCACACATATATTCTTCTTGCTTCGATATTATTATTATTATTATTAATAATAATAATAATAATAATAATAATAATAATAATAGATACATTATAGCCTTACACCGAACGGTTGCAAAATAATTGTTACTATAAAAGATAATTCCGAATAGCAAAAAAGGGGCAAATCTTCATCTGTCTTTACCCCTTGAAGAAAAAAAATACTTTAAATCATTTCCCTGTGACCAATAAGTATACATATCATATTTGCGGGGCTTACATGAAATAGTTTTGCAGTGTTTAACCAACAGACAAAGAAATACTTCACAATTATATATATATATATATATATATATATATATATATGTGTGTGTGTGTGTGTGTGTCACACAATTCACCGTGTCATGATACTGGTTCTTTGTTTAATATTACAATAATATACCGAATAGTAATAATCTTCATTAATTCTTTAGTAAACAATGTGTCAGTGAGAAGATAAAAGGATAAGTGAATCGGTAAAGAGTCAAAATAGAAATCCGCCCTATGCTTTTTGGAAGAAATCCTGAATGATTGCATTCGCTCATTGGCTTGGAAGTTTTCTCTGAATAAAGGTGCTGCGAGTAACAAAGCGAGGAAGAACAAAGTGACGGTGTAAAGAAGAGGAAATAGACAGGAGAAAGAAAATAAACTGACAAGGAAAATAGTAAAGAAATGAGAAAGGCATCTATCCATTTCACTTTCTCTTCTCTTTACTAAGAATTCTTTATTTATTTGACCAAATCGATATTTTTTTGTTTCTTATGTTTTTCCTTTTAATGACAAGATAGTGGCTGGTACTTTCAATGCTTACTGAATATTAACAACCAGGGAAAAGGAACAACGAGGCAAAATGGCCGAAGGCTGAATGGAAATAGAGCAAGAACAAAAGGTACATCAACACACACACGCACACAGATATATATATATATATATATATATATATATATATATATATATATATATATATATATAAGATTTTTTTTTTCTTTTTATTCCTTTTTGTATAGTTTTTAGACTTAGTTGTAAAGGAAAATACCAGTCTAAATTCTGTATATCTGCCCCGTCAAAAACGAGAATGAAGAAATAACCATCACAATGAAAAAGAAAGAAAATGAAGTAATAATCATTACAATGAAAAGGAAATAACCATCGCAATTAAAAGAAATTGAAAAATAAGATTTTTTTTTTTAGTAAACAGATTAAAGAAATTATCCTTTTCAAAATAAAACTCGTTTTCCCCGGGCAGCAGTTAGCGCGTTATACATTTCCATACGTTATGACTTATTTAACTCATTTAGACTAGCAAGCCTCAAGGTTAAACTCAAGTAAGAAGATTGTGTTGCTCCAACTTTCAAAGTGTCAAGAGATATTCTATAAAAATCAATACCTGGATCCTTTGTTCGGCTATTGCTAATAAATTCTTACTATCACTCTCTTTCTTTTTTCTCGGTATGTCAAGCGTGTGACATAACTCAAGTGTCGAAGGAGATGGTGTCGAGAGTCAGCTTCTTGTCTAATACAACAACATTAGTACGGGAGTTAAACCAGAGATTCTCTAATCCAAACTTGGTTTGCCGATAATCAAACAAGAACCG